AAGATCTCCAGAGAAGGAGACTCCACAACCTCTCTGGGCAGCCTGTTCCAGGGCTCTGTCACCCTCATTGGTAAGAAATTTTTCCTTAAGTTCCTGTGGAACTTTTGATGCTTCAGTTTCTGGCTGTTTCCTCAAGTTCTGTTGGTGGCCACCACTGAAAAGAGGCCACCATCATCCTCCTCACTGCCTCCCTTGAGGTACTTATAGACACTGATTAGATGCCCTCTCAGCCTTCTCTTCTCCAGCCTGAACAGGCCCAGCTCCCTCAGTCTTTCAATCCCTTAATGTGTTTTGCTTTTAATTAACAGCCTTGGAGAGGCTTAAAATTATTAATCTAAAAAGCTCTGGCCCTGGCTCTCTCCTTTTGATTTGCAATTTAGATTTCACATACTATCAGTATTATATTCTACCAACAGCACATGCTCTAACTCATGAGGATTTCCTTGAATAGTATGTGCACTCTGAAACGCTTCAGAGAAAACACTTCCAGCAGAACCTCCAAAGGCAAGGCTCCTCATAAAATTATGTGAAAGCTAAGAAAGGTGCTCGAGTCCCTGATCTCTTCCTTCCTTCAAAATAGCATAGGAGGTGACATGCAGTAATAACCTAACTCAAAAATGAAGTTGAAAACTAAGTTTCCAAGTTGAATTTTGGATTTGTTGGATAACAAATTTACTACCAACTGGAAAAGACCCAGGCATCACTGCTGACCATATTATCAATTCTGTCGTAAGCCTGATGAAAAAAACAGGGCAAAAACCTATGAAGAAAGATTTGGAATATTAGGATTTTGTACTTCACAATGGAGCTATAACAAAAGCATATTAAACACTTAAAGGTAGAGAGGGTGGACTAATATTCCACTGATCTTATGTTGTAACAAAAGCTAGAAAATAATGAATGAATTTAAATAGGTAGTGCATTTTCGACACAACATTTAATTACACTGTCGAACACATTATCATCAAAAACTGTTCAAGTCTAAATGCTTAAGCAATATCCTCAGCAATAAGCTCAGCTATCCCTAAGCTATCCCTATGGCTAACAGTGACAATGTGACCAAATAAATCTGGGTAGCTTGATTTTTGGTAAAAGATATTTTTGCAAAAGATAATAAAGCCAATCCGCAACAATCAGAGGGGAGAACGAGAGCCCTAATGTTAGGAACAAATCTTTTTGTGTCTGGCATACTGCACATACCTGTGCTGAGGTTCCCAACTACTCTTCCCAACACCAAGGTCAAAACCATTCTCTTTTTACCTTGCCAAAAGTAAGGAAGTACTTCAAGGAGCCCCATTACAACACCAGAAGTACAGGCTGATTTATGGCTTTCAGTTGCCAGAATTCACAATATTGACTTTCCTAATAATCATTCTTCAATTCATTGTTTCTAAGCTTTCTGAAAATAATTCTCTGGTGCGCATAAAACATAGAAAACTACTGGAGAAAATAATCTCTCAAAAGCCAGCACTGTAAAGCTGCACAGAGTAAGCTTAAGTTAGGCTGCAGGGATGCTCTGAGTTTACAATTTCAGATTTGATCATTAAAAAAAAATCCTGTCTGCTTTTATTTTACAAAAGTCTCACACACCCAGCAACGAAGCTGATCTGTCCACACGATGTGGGATGTCACACGGGGAAACAACTGTCCTCTGAATCCTCCCAAGAAGGGAACAGAAACACTACAGAGCCCGTCCTACCCTGCCCCACTAGTACAACTGCACCCTCGCAATTCATGATTAGTATATAAAAATAATAGTAAGAAATGCACAGACTGATAGATGTAACATTACCAGTATGCAAAAAGTTAAAATAAAACAAATTAAGAACTCCAAAGGTTAAATTCAGATTGTTTATTGTAAACAGAATAACTCTAGCACTCTGTCATACTGGCTGTGTCACATGCACCCAATTCCACATAAACTGCTCAAAATAGCACTTGCAAAAATTACAGTTATGTAATAATAATTTACGGTTTCTTACATAAACTAATTAACAAGCACTAAAACTGAATTACAGTGTATTCTAGGTAGTTTTTTATTGCTTGTAGACACTGCAGCTTTGGATCCATTAAAATGAACCCATTAGTATGCCTGAGTTTATCAAAATTTACTGCTATACCAAACTCAGAAACTGTAAAATGCTGGAGAACACTTAAAAACAATTAAAACATGGGTTTCCACATCCACTTACAGAATTTTAAAAATCTACATTTTTCTGCTGGTAAACACGATTCGGGAGTTTGTGTTAAATACACTGTTGTTCCAATTCATATAGTTTGTTAAAATTAGCGTTCATCGTACTTTCATGAATATTTATATTTATTTTTACATATGACAGAAGCAATCTCATTTATTCACCATAAAAGTGGTATGTTTAAATACTAAGTCCCAAAATATATATTTTATAATATGTTGTCAAAACTTTTATATATATAATACAAACACTTTTACTAAAATAAAATTATAAACAAAAGCAAAATGCAAGAGGGTAAAAAACCCATTTACATATGAAAGATCCATGAAAAATGTGGCAAACTGAGCAGAGACCCCAATACTGTTTTTTGTTTATACTAAACCCCAATTTTTTTCCTTAGGCTACAAAAAAATTCAAGTGGCCTTCTCTGGCAACAGGTTACATCACAAATCAGCATCAATTTCTTTCAAGAGATGTTGAAACAAATGCACTGTTTACCTTTGAAATAAAAAAAAAACCTTTTAAATGCCCTGTATTTACTCAATTAAAACAGATTCTGGTAGAGACAAGTTAAGCCCTAATCCTGTCAAGTGCCCATTTGAATTCGGCATCAGTGTAGACAGGAATAGTGATTCCAATGGTAAGAACAGCCCTACTGAGGACGCCGGGATCCCGAGGGCCCTTAGTTTCAGGTTCTCTTAGTATAAAGTAAACTTGCAGCAGCAGCCCTGATAGTAAGGGCTCACACGAGCAGCTTGTACATCCTCAGTGCTTTGCATTCTACATCCTGTCTGAATAATTGCAGTTAATTTTGTGCATTAAAAGGTAAAAGAGGTTAGTAATTACTAAGATGCTCCATTACCTTTTTTTTTATTATTATTTGAAGACTATCGTGATTTGTTGTCTCAAGCAGCACAAACATCTGCAGGAGCAACCCAGTGAACACAATATATTGCTTTACCATGTTTACTAAGTTATGAATTGTGCACACACAACATCTCAACATAATTCTTGATTCTTCTCAGTTTTGTGCAGCCTTCTTAAAAGAACGGGGCCCCACCACGTCGTGACGGAACCCGAAACAAGTCCCGCGCCGCAGCGGTGCCGCCAGCCAGGGGCTGCGCCGGCCCCAGGGCTGACCCGAGCAGACACACAGGAACCCGACTGACTCACGGAAGGCCCCAGATTTAGCCTCACCTGTTCTTAATTTAAGAACTAATGCACACAAAGGTATTCGCACTAACAAGTGCTTTGCTGGACTGAGACCTAATATAACAAAAAGGCAAAATGTACTGATTGAGAACTTTCATAGTGTATGAGCGATGGAAAACAAGAATGACACCAAATAAAGTATTTTATATTCCAATTGGCAACAATTCAGAGTAACCTTGACAAACTGAACAGTATGTTAACAAAATCCAAAGATTAGGACAACACTTCTGCTAACAGAAAGAAGATGGAGTAACAAAGCGTTTCCAGCATTTTACTAGTTTGAATATAAAACGTCCCAAAGTTTGTATAGAAAGATTAAAATCATGCCATTATCTTCGGTTACTCTTGTTAAGACAACTCCCTCACTTATTACTGTGTTGTCAAATTTCCTTTTTTCCCTGTTGGTCTTCATAAAACTTAAATAGAAAATATGTTGGTTGCATTAAGAATCAATTAAAAAAAAATCAACATGTCACTTTTCAAAAACATGAAAGTCTCTTTTTATGAAAAATCGTTTTCCCCAAGCCCCAAAGGACTTGCTTTTCTCCCCTTTCGGCCCCCAGTAAGATTATAATTGGGCTACTAAACAGTGTTTTTCAGGAATGATACGGATTTTACAAGCAAAATTGTTTATTCTGGAGGCTTCTTTTATCAAAATGAAAACTTAAAGGGATATACTATTTTAAAAATATACTGCATCTACAAGTTTTTTATTGTTTCAGTTGATTTTGGTTTTCAACAGGCTTTCTGCAATATAAATGACACATGACCACAACTGATTTTTCTATACTCTCTATCCCTAGCACACAGTTTATGTTGAATGAACCAAGAACATATGCGGGATTTTCATAATGGACAGAACCATTTATCCTAATAATTTTTAATAATTTTGTTCATCATGAAATCCCTTAAAATCATGTCAGCACTGATCATTTGCATTTCTTCATCCATTGGGATTCTTCACAGTTTTGCAGCCATGAAATTGATATGTGGTTTCACCAGTGGAAAGAGCGGCAGACTGCGCTTGAATTCTGTCATATTTTCAATCACACTTGGCTGCAAAGAAGCGTATGCAAGAGAAAGTCTGCTCAGTATCGTGAATCAGGAAAGTGGGAAAAAGCCTCGCTCTAAGTTTTAACTTTTGCTACAACCACACATAAACACATCTTTCTTGTTCTCGTTTCTGTAGCTTAAGGGATTCACATTCATTATCATGGGATCTTCTAAAGCGTAGTTTTATTGCTCATGAAGTACACCGTTTTCTATTTATTCTGGGTAATTTAAAACAGTATCTATACTGCAGTAATAGCATTAGTAATAATGGCAAGTAAACAGAGCTCAACTACTTTGTCTTTTCATTTATGAATTCTATTTCAGAACATACCAGCTATTCTTTAATCACCAGAGTCAAGATCATAAAAACAGTAACAATTAATGAGTTATTATATTTCCGCTATGATTATTTCAAAATAACATTTTTTTTAAAAGGAGGAAGAAAGTAATTACCTAATGGGGCAAATACTAGCATCCTTCTTCAAGTAAATTAATTTAAGGTTCAGTAAGCCTCTGTGCTATTACCTCTGCTCACACAAAAAGCATCACAGTGAAATCTCTAACACTTGCATGAATAGAAGTTGGCAAATTGCTTCCTCCACAGGTAACACAATGACAGGAATTTGCATTTCTTTTTTTAGACAAAGATGATAATTTGTTGATGCATCTGCAACCTTCTCTTGGCGTGTATTACATCTTATCATCTACACTCAGTATTTTCATGCAACAATTATCTGCACTTTATTCCACAGTGTAGATACTCGGTAGAGTTACCTACTTCCATTAGCTTTTATTTGAGGGGAATAATAGGAACAAAGGCAACGGGAGAAACTATTCGCATTAAGAAGGAAAAAAAAAAAGTCAGGAGCAAAATTGCCATTATTGAGGATAACAACACACGTGTAAAAGGGCTGAAACATCAACCTACACCGGTATGAACTTCAAAAAGTCTGTACTTTTTTCCCTACTTTTAAGCTTTTCTTTCTTGCTGCTACAGTTTTACCTGTGGTAGTGGTGGTGCTGGGGCCAGGTTCACATCATTTTGGCATGGAAATTCTCCAACAACAGGGCCTATTTAACATTATCAAAATTAATTTAGGACCATAATTTAATTAATACCCTACATATATGATCTCCTGTTCTTGTAAGACAGATACATACAAAAAGCATAATTATTTTATAATATCTATAAATAATATTTCTGAAGATTTTGACTTTGATCTCCACAGAAATTCAAATAAACTAACCCAAGACCTGGGTTGAGACTATGTGTTGAGGAGTAGTGGCTTTTTATTCATTTTACTTCTACACAAAGAACACAGAAATATAAGACTGCTAATTCACTGAATAATGAAAACTTGAACTGTTTTTTCAGCACAACTTATGCGAACAGTATTAAATGCCCACAGTATATGCAGCAATGGCGATGCAACAAAATCCGTATTTCCAACATTTTCTATAATTATACCAGAATTTTCTTGTAGAATACACTTATAAAGGGTGGGATACTCCATGAATCAAACCCTCTTTAGCAATCCTAAACCTCTCTCGCCTGTCCCCATCTATTTCCTAAATCTAGACCACTCAAAATTGCTCTTTGCTTTCCATCCACCTGTCCCAGAGAATTCCTAGTCTTAAATTCCTCAAGCCTCCCTTTTACCTCCATCCTCCCAATTTCAATGCTGACACTCACACAGGAAGTTCAAGTATTTCTTCCTCCTAAATCCCTGTTTCCACTCCTTTTCCACTCTTAGGGCAAACAGTGCATCGGAAATACATGAAAGTACCATTTCCCTGTGGTGGCTGGAAAGAGGCCACACACCAGATTAAATGCTGTGGGGCTGGGGAACGTGTGGAAAGAGCAGGACAGAATATCTTGCTGTAATGTCTGTAAAGGTACCAGTTCTTAGGCGCTCTCTCGGACTCACCCTCGTCTCGGGAAGCTGTCATTTCAAGAATAGGCCACTCTGGGAATTTAGTTTTTAGATTTTAAAATGTTTCCTCTAGTTTAGCAACGTATGAGAGCTATTTCTGCTCAGCTATGATCAGTCATGAAAACTGGTTAGATATTTTAAAATAAATCTTCCTTACACAGTTGCAGAATCATGACTTCCATGGTACCATAAAATCAGCCATTCTGAGACTGGAGGGAGTCTCATGACAGGCAAAAAAAGTATCTGCTTCTTTCTGTTCCACAGACAAACCTTTACCATCCTTGATTTTACAACCAGTCACACAATGCAATTTAACTCCATTATAAACTGGTGAAAAATCTGCACAAAACAGCATAGAAGTTTTTCCTCTTAGTTTATTTACGTGAAATGGTAAACATTTTTAACGTTTTCATTCTTGAACTTTAGAATGGAGTAGCATAGTTTACAATACACAGTTAATCTAGATTACTTGAAAGCAAAGCCTAAATAAAACTTTTTCTCAAATTTAAATATATTTGATATTCTTAAAAGTTTGAGCTTTCCTTTTCTTTTCCTTTTTTAACCCCACAAAGGTGCTTGAT